AATACTAATGCTGTAAACTCCCAGTATAACTCCCACATGCTCAAATGGCCTGAGAAAAAAAAAGAAAATGAGACCCTGTGTTTGATTGGACCAGAAGCAAGGCTGACGCACCAACTATACCAAACTAAAATACTGTAATTGTGTGAAAATGGAAGTTATAATGGAAACTGTTTTGTAACTAACTAAAAATCTTTTATTTTTCCAGGCAAGTTGCACTGATAGGATCAGGGCCAGATGCACAGCCCACTGAAATTAATGTGAGTCTTTCTATTGACTTCAGTAAGGTTTTGACAGACAAGAGAAGGCTACTGCAACTTCAATATTAGTCTCTAGTGTAATTCTTCTCTAGGGCCTAGCTGAATTAAAGCTTCATGCTAGCAGATTCCTTTGGTGCAGGTGTGTCAGGAAAGCCGCTCTATTCTCTGTTTGAAAGCCCTTTTTGTTGCCAGAGAGAAAACCACAACAAATGGTCAGACATGTTGTCTCACCTTGCTTCCTTTTAAGGTCTGGTCAAGTGTGTCACCCGAGAGAGCCAGAAACATCCTTTTTTATTCTTCTTGGGGCATCACTCTTTTAGGTGCTAGAACAGCAACCCTGATGCTCATACTTTTCACTGCTCATACTGAGCTATCTCACTACACTGCGACCTTAGCTGTCTGCAATTTGAGAGAAAGTCTTGCAGTTCCCTCATTTCAGTGTGTCTGATCTTCCATAAATTCTTTCACTGTCTCTCTGGAGTTAAAGGGTCTAAGTTCCTCTAAGTTTTTAGGTGGTTTCATTCTTTATCTCTCTTTCTTTGAGCTTAACCCTTAAAATAAAATACCTAAAAATTAACAAAAAGCTATTAAGCATTTTACAGACATTATCAGAAAGATAAATACAACATTAAGATGAACACAAATATTTAGCTACTATTACACTAAACAATTAGGCTAATTGCCTTTGTTTTGAGTGTTATTTTTACAAGTCTTTTATCAAGAGCTCCAATTTGGGCATATGTTCCCGCCTGCGTTACTGGTGCTGTATGCACCTTACAACAAATACTACCATTTTTAGTGATTGTGTGTTTGTTTTAACTATGGTCACATAAAACCATATTGCATCTACCTCATAATCTGTCTAAGCCCCCACAACACCAAGCTACTATGACCCATATGGCAGATGCAGCTCCCTTCCTTCCATGTAATTTACTGTAGTCTATCAATGATGTGCTCTATCACAGATACGGGCACTGTGCTGAAGACAGAAGTTCTGTTTTGCAAAAGATTTGGGAATTTTTAAATTTGGCTTCAATCTAAATTGGAGCAAAAATCAACAAAAATAAAAAGTTTAAATCCCTAGGCAATAAAGTTTAATCCAGTCCAAGTTAGTAGTAATGGAAAGTCATCATTGCCATCTGATGCATTTCATTGACCTATGTGAAATGAATTTTTAATATCTGTCCAGTTTGAGTCTTCACATCACAAAAATTACCATCACAGTTGACACCCCTATGTTATCAGTTTCTGCAAAAGACAGTTTTTGAATAAACAGTTTCCTTTTAAAGTCATGGTCAGAGAACATGGATAAGACAATGTGAGGGACTACTCTGTGTTATAACTGCTTTGTAAAGAACTTTCATTTCTATGGCACTTTATGAACACTATATTCTCTATTAAGTTAAGAGAATTTGAACCAAGATCTCAAAAAATGAAAGCAGTACCTATCTGTGCTATTTTCAACCCGCTGAAAACCATTTTTCTAGCTAAAGTAAGTAGTATCTGAGTCTATTCATTTGTTTTCTTTTGACTTTAATTCATGTCAAATGACTTGACTGACTTCTCCCAGCAGAATTCTTTTTCAGCTTACAATAAGGAATTCAAGAGAAACACTGGATCTTTCCTTCTCTTGCAATCTGTTTTATTGCTTATTGGCCCAGTTGTTGGAAGACACTCAATGAGGTGTCTGTCCATTGGGCAAAATAGAAACTAATCTTGCAACAAGCACAGATAGGCCAAAACTGTCACTTCTGCTGGAGGGAATCTCAGCTGACTTTCAATAAAAAGGAAGCATTTCTACAATGACAAATTTGATTTTTATAAACCTGAATTTTATATCTGCCATCTTTACCTACTACGGTTCACATATTCATTTGTCATAGGCTCCCCTAACAATCATATGCTCCGTGGGCTCAGAAGGTAACTTAGGGCTTAAAATGCAATATTTTACCTTGAAAAAAAGGATGACTCCAGATAATCAGAAGGCACCAGAACTAAAGCCCTTTTTATGACTGTGTGTTCATTCAATGTGTTGTTCACTTACACAGCTGAGCTAATTATTTGGATGTGACATGGTCTTGGGAGACAGAAATGAAAAAGAGCCCAGGCTTTATTTGGTTATACTATAGATCTGCCCTCCATGAACTGGGAGTTTGATGGAGAGAACCATAATGAGGTAATTAATCAAGTATTTCATTAAGGCTCACATACAGTTATTCATTTCAGCTGGGATTTTCAAAGGAGCCTAAGGGATTAGGTGCATGGGAGCTGTTTGACTCCCTCAGGTGCCTGAAAATCCCACCTTTCCTTTCCAAAAATTGATATGGGTGCCAGTAATCAGTGTTTAGTCCCCTGATTTTAATGCCCAGTGAGGACCTGATCCAGAGCTCATTAAAATCAATGGACAGACTAATTGGCTTCAGTGGGCTTTGGATCAGGCCCAGGACATATGAGCTATTTAGTAATCTATGGAAGATGGGGAGAGCCTGGACATAGCAAAACACATAGAACACCTCTTTTACCTCAGCTGGTATGAGTACTGTCTTTGATTAACACTATAATTAATTGTGCTCTACTAAGCAGAAGCTATTTGGTATTATTATACACTTGTCACAAACCACTCCTGCATCTCCAGTGCAAAAGAGCTTTAATTGGCCATCACCCCCCTCAGATAAAACACCACTTGTAGCAATCTTACTCAGCAAGAACAGGCAAGTGACTAGTAGTGTAGCCATTAATAAGATACTTCACATATATTCAAGATAGAGAGCTACTTTGATTAATGCTCTCTCACAAGTAGAGTTGTCAATGCTCCAGGATTGTCCTGGAGTTTCCAGGAATTAAAGATTATGTCATGTGATGAAACCTTCAGGAATACATCCAACTAAAATTGGCAACCCTAATCACAAGACCCACAGACAAGCCAAACAAGGACTCAGGCCTAAAGATAGGCTGATATAAGTAGCTAACTGATAAGTGACCCCATGTCACAAAATCAAATAGTTACATTAATAGATATATGTATGCTGATGTTCCTAAACATCAGCAGTTAATATTTTACAACATATCAGTTAAAGACAGTTAAAATATTTGGAGGATTTTTGAAGACATGGGGTGTCACCAAAATGCTAACAACAAATTGTTACTTTGGGATGTAAATGTTAATGACTATAAGAGGAACTAGTAAGTTAGCCTCTGAAAAATGGGGCACCTCAAATTTAGTGAGGTGTGGAAGTATTGATAAGGAATTTCATAAATATGTATGAACCCTAGTGGGCATTAGAGTAACACATTATAAAAGATGTTTCCCAGCCTGGGGAGATGCCAGGATGACATACATAGAGGATGATGATAAAAATAAGGATCATGATGAGGAAGATAATAATTGATAGTCTGGGGTGCCCCAGTGGGAGATGTGAGGGCTGAACACTTTGTACTCTCTCTCTGCTGTTGTATTTCAGTGTTTTTGAGGTTGTTTATCTGCTGAGTGGATTTGTTAATATAGGGACTTGTGATAAATTGCAATTGTTTCTCTTGTACTCCTCGGGTCTCTCATTCTAATGATACTAGTAATTACCTTCCTCATGCTGTAGGCATTCAGGAGACTGAATGGTTATCGACAACTGTAGTCTAAGAGATTAATCAATAATCAATCTACCCATCCATCAATTAGGCTACTGTAGCAAATACAAAACTAAACAAAGCAAAAATCCTGTGTCAAGCCTACCTTCCCACAGGGAGGCTCTGGCACACCCCAGCTAGACGTTCTCTCACAGAGTAAGCTCTGGAGATCTACTCTCACTCCCAGCCATCTCCCAATGGATCTGATCTCTGTCCTTTTAATCCCTCCAATCAAGCCTGACAGCTATTGCAGATGTAGTAGGATGGCATTGACTGAGCCCAGAGTAGCTCATTAACCCTCTGCTGACCAATGTTGGGTTTGTACATCATATCACAGTGAAAATGCAGCTAACGGCCCCATGATGTCAGCATAATGCACTTGTTATCCATGAAGTTTCAATAGAACATAGTTTAGATAATAAAATAAACTTTGATTATAGCCAGCTAACTCAACTACATATGGGAAGGATAGATATTCTCCTATCCCTCTTGCTAATCATCCAAATGGAAATATGAATCGGACTTCTACTTTTTTAAAAATTCGTAGCAGAAAAGGCCCTTGACCTCCATTTGCATGTGTGCACATTTACTGAAAATTCAACTTGAAACTAACACAAAGTTCATACACACAAATAACCTGAAGAAGAATTCTGTGTAGCTTCAAAGCGTGTCTTTCTCACCAACAGAAGTTGATCCAATAAAAGATATTACCTCACACACCTTGTCTCTCTAATATCCTGGGACCGACACAGCTATAACAACATTGCAAACACACAAATGGTTCATCGCCTTTCTGAATGCTGGGCAGGTCTGCCCCCTAATTTTATTATAAAGAGGGGAAACAGTAAGGCCACTATTTGTGCCTGGCTTGGAGGTGGAATTGGCATTGCTCAATTTCTCCACTTTCCTTGGCTACAACATCTCAGTCCCACTCTGCAGGCAATGAATGGCAGTGCACAGAAATTGCAGCAGCAGCTGATACACAGTAAATGGAATAGCAGCCTTTGGTGGCCAGCAGATAAACTGCAGGCAGCTCTTTCACATTTCTGAACAGCCCTGCAACTGTTTTCATGATTGGGAGCAGTCTTCAAAAATGCCCCCAAATCACGGAACTCACCCTCATATCATAAATGTTGCCAACACAGCTTACAATGCAGCAGCTGGATGCTATACTGAAGAAGAAGGCGGATCTCGTTTAGGCAGGCTGTGAAAACGGTAGTGATTGAATTCTTGAAACCATTCATTGTCTCGTCACAACAGGGGAATATATTCTTTTCCTGAATGAAAAAAAATAATTCATTTATTCCTGTGACAAAGAAACCTGGAAGTAGGAGTGTGGGAGCTGCCAAGATAAAAATCTCAAGTGTTTCCCTTTCTAGACTGTACGTGGAGATCTGTGCTATGTCGCAATGGAATGGCCACTTTTAGCCATTATTAACCCTATTTCCTTTTCTTGGCCTCCTTTCCCGAGTCTCATCTCTAAAATATTGAGAATGAGACTGTTTGTGCCAACATGTTACCTCAGTCTTGGGTAGAGAATCCAGAGCTAATACATCTCCACTCCTCCTGCCACAGGTTTGTATCCCCTAAATATTGGTTTAGCTCCTGTGTGGCACCATTGTCAACTGCTGCCATCAAGCCTATCAATATCAAAGGGCCTGGAAGCAGCAGGCACACATTAGTACTGGAGTCTTGTGCTGTGTCTGGGGTTGTGCTTTGGGAATTGGGCTGCTTACCCAAAACATATGGGGAGGGCAGGACACAACAGTGAATCAAGGGCTCGAAACGGGGGGGGGGGGGAGAAAAAGAACAGCAGCAGCAAAGCTGTGTGTTGAAAGCAGCCCCACAATAGAGCTGTTCAAATACTAGATAAAATTATTTATTGAATGATATAATATTCAACCAGCTGTATTTAACTTGCTGAAGTGGCAGCATCTGCAAGTCACATGAATGTTTAGAGCCCAGAGAGCACCAGATCAGATGTTTTATAATTTTAAATTGCGTTTAAAAATTTACAGCTAAATGCTACTTTTTGAAGTGGTTTTCAAATTAATATGTTATGTGACGAAAATGATATAGCGGTCAAAGAGTTTGTACAGTCCTGAAAGTCCTTCTAGCAGTGGATGGGCAAGCCACATCCCCAATGCTCTCCCACAAGGCCCTTTATGTGGAAGGAATGCCCACAGAGCTAGAATCTTGAGTCATATGGAGGTCAGTAAATCTAGAGTAGGCTCCAGAAACCCTGCCTTGCTCTGCACAGTGGTATCTTCTTCAGCTACAGAGGGGCAGTGTGATTCCACCCTTGCAGTCAGAACACAGGCTATTGTCAGAATCCAATTTCCATCAGAGCTATTTTTATTATAAACAAAGCATTAGGGAAGAAGTGGTGCTTGAAAAGATTGAGCAGACACAGAAAGGACTGTCTTTGAAACTCAGTGTTGATTACTTTCATTCACTTCTTTAATGGAAAGAAACATGTAAGCATTTTTTAAAAATAAGGCTAGAATATGAGGTAATGGCTGGCCATGTCAGAAGCAGTCTGCTTCTCAGCTCTGGCTTCAAAATAAAAGATTATAAGGAAGGGCTACATTTAACTCTGATAAACATATTGAAAAATATGTGCAGTTCTGTTTCTCTGTGCTTGAGCAAACTAAGCATTTACTAGACTGTCACTTTCTTTAACACCTGTTTGTTCTTCTTGAGGTCAGCACCTCAGATAAGCTTTTGTCAGTACACTTCAAAAGCACCCTCGAATTCAGTCGAGGTGTACCTACCATAGCTTTATTCCTAATATTGGGTTACTGGGTGACATGTGGACTATGCTCAGCATACCTACTGACATAATTTTTAGGCAGTCTTAGCTACACTATCTTGTCTCCGGGTATGTCTGCACTGTGCACTCCTTACTGCAGTGTGTAAAGTACATACGCTGCATGTCCCCATAGCATGGATATAAATAGCAATGTAGACCGTGAGGCACCACTTAGAGAAGTAAAGACATGCCTGAACCTTTAGGATACGTACCCTACATGGCTCTCTAGATGCCCAAGCAGTGTAAGGACCTGCTGCTGGAGCCTTTCCCTGCCGCAGAGAAAGACTTTGGCAGTAGGGAATGGTTCCAGTGGTTCTCCACTGCCAGAGCCTTTCCCTGCAGTTGGAAAGGTTCCAGCAGCTCTCTGCAGCAAGGAAAGACTCCAGCAGCCAGGAGCTGCCCCTGCAGGAAACTTCCACCAGGCGTGAGCTACCCACCACGGTGTGGACACAGACTGTTTTTCACTATTGCATATAGCTACACACACTCCAGAGACACTGCCAGTGACGCGCACTGTAGATGCACCTTATGTGGCTTTGGCAGAGGTGGTTTGCTCATCTTGCAATATCAATTGCACTTTAACTATGTCTGCACCTCTGCAAGTCTGGGCACACAACCTGTGACATAAGCAAATAGATGCTCATGAAAATGTAGGGTTACCATATTTCAACAATCAAAAAAGAGGATGGGAGGAGCCCCGCCCTAGCCCCGCCCCTGCCCCTTCCACTCCCTCCCACTTCCCACCCCCTCAGAACCCCCAACCCTCCCCCCCACTCCTTGTCCCCGTGATTGCCCCCTCCTGGGACCCCTGCCCCTAACTGCCCCCAGGACTCCACCCCCTACCTAAGCCTTCCTGCTCCTTGTCCCCTGACTGCCCCCTCCTGAGACCTTCCCCACATC